CTCTACTGGGGTAAGTCTTAACCATGACATTTATATTATGTATGAAGAAGCTATTGGTGGTGTCAGATCTAGGTATAGCCTTTACATTCCAATGTATTTTCTTATTGCCATGGTCCCCTTTGCATACTTAGAAACTTTCTGATATTTTTAGATACTTTAGTTACTTACTGATTATAGTTACTTACTGGTCATAGATACTTACTGATCAGAGTTACTAACTAACCATAGTTACTTACTGGTCATAGATGCTTACTGATCATAGTTATCATATCATTATAACATATGGCTCCCAACTGGTTCTAACTTCTCCGGAAGGAAGTGACTTCTGCCGGCCAAGTATCAGAAATATGTTGTTACAAAAGTTGCAAGTCATTGTTTATTAGTATTCAAAGTTGGTAACTGAACATACTTACTTACTTACTGGTTATAGATACTTACTTATCATAGATACTTACTGTTCCGAGTTACTTACTGTTCAAATTTACTTACTGGTCATAGTTAATCATTGATCATAGTTAATTATTGATCATAATTACTTACTGATCATAGTTACTTGCGTTTTGTACCAGTAGACATGATATATTTTACATTTCTATTTAACTGAATCTTTTTTTATTTTTACGTTAAAGCTTAATCACTTGATATTTTCTCTCAGTGCCTTGCCACCGCACCCTGGGGGCACGCAAAAATGTGTTTTAAATTAAAGACACAATATTTTTTGTGGCAGTTTTCTTTATTTCGATTTATGCAGATTCTCTTAAACGCTGACAGCGAACGAGACATGCCGGGCGTAATAAATTTTTGGCGCCAAGTGGCAATTTAGCAGAGCAATCGAACTGTGCCCCAAATCTTTAACATTTAAAATTTTTAAATTTAAAGCATCTGCTACGGTTTTGCATTCGTTTAAAAGAGAGCCGCTGAAAATTAACTTCGATGGGATGTGCTTAAAAGGTTGGCATTTATGATTATTGGGTCTTCTTTTGGGAATTTTTTCAGTAAAAGATTGTTTACGTTCAGAAGATCATAAGCCTTTTACAAAAATGGCTTAAACCGTTTATAAATGTTGATAAATTTGGGCAGCACTTTCGTATAGCTTTACAATAATTACTTCTGGCAAATATAATATTTAAAGTTAACAATTTTGACAAAATCTTGACTCATTATTAATAACACCCAAGTTTCTCCTCCTGCACATTCCTTAAATACTTGACACCACCTGTACTTCGAAACTCTTGCGTTATGCACCTGAAGTGACCATTCCTTTGGGTAATTCTCAAGGCATTCTGTAAATGTTGTGCTAAATAGCGCATTTGGCTTGTTAGCTGCGAGAATTATGTGACAACTCTATATTGGGGCTCGCAGTGGGGGGTCTCTCCTCCTGCTACCTCTCTGTCTTGGCCAAGTTAAGGCGATAAATATTCAAGTGTAAATGGATATGAGGCACAAGAGCCAGGGGGGGCAGACTCAGCCCAGCAGTGAACTAATAAAGGACGGAGGGAGGGGAATATAGACATAGACGGAGACCCAACGCCGACGCTTTATTAGCCAGACTTTCTAGGTTCTCGTTATATACATATATTTTTTTGTTCGTTGTGATTTTTTTTTTTTTGTGTTATTATGGCCGTAAGAGCCGCGCGCCACAAATGCGTTGCCATAAATTTAAAGCTTTGGCCCAGGCGACTCCCGGGAATGTCTATAAAGACATTTTACCGGCAAAGGCGATGGAGGCAACGGCGGCAGCTCCCGCTAATGAAGATCAACGAGACGAGACGAGACCAGTCCCGGGGCTGAGATTCAGACAGAGACTGCAGGTGGGTGGTGGGTAGGTGGCCTCCAGTGAAACGAACGCATTTCTATGCACATCGCGCAAATATTTCATAAATTTCATTCAATTTTTATTAAACACAAGAAATATGAGCTACTGCGGAGGACGCAGCAAATCCTGCACCGGAAATCCTCTCATTACGCCAGACTTGTAATTAATCTTTGGAAAATTAAAAGAAGGAAAAATGCAGGGTGAAAAAATAAGGAAAATGGGGCTAAACGCTGGAAACTTTTGAGCCCATCATCCGTTGCCAGTACACCTGTTACACTCATCTCCGTTTTTTTCGTTGGATCCGGTTTTTTTTGGGGTCCGCCAAAAAAAAGGGTTTTAGGTTTTAGGCTTAGGTTTAGGTTCGTCTGACGATTTTCCCGGTAAATATTTGCAAATGAGTTTGAAATTAAGCCGGTATACTGATTTCCTTCGACTTCCATCTCCACCCCTTTCTAAGCTGTATAATTAATTTTTTCCCATATTTTTCTCCGTTGAAAGGTTCGCCGTCAAAGGGTACCTAGAAAAGGGGTAATTTGTTGTATTTAGTTAAACTAATTTATATGGAAGGAATATGATTTAGTATTTAATTTAAATTATTTGTATACCCTAGCAGGGTGTTATCACTTTAGTCGGAAGCTTGTAACTCTGTGAAGGAGTCATTTCCGATCCTATAAATCATATATATTTTTGATCAGCATCAACAGCTATCAACTAGCTATCTCATGCAAAAAAAAATTTTTTTAAAAATTTCCCCAATTTTTTACATCGGTTTACATCGTAAAATTAAAAAAAAAAAATTGACAAAAATTTTAATTTTCTTAAATTTTAAATTGAGCATGCAGGTTTATTAAACTTATAAAAACTCACTTAGGAAAGCTTTCCGAATTGAAATCAATGAATTTTTGTCTTCGTTATGAGATTTTTAAACTAGGATTTGTGAAAATAAATTGTCATACAAAAATATGATCGATTTTTGATTCCATCCAATACTTTGACTGTAAAGGGCTTTCCGTAGTTGTATAAGAACCTAAATCTTTCATGTTTCATAAACATTATTGAATTATAATTTATTATAAAAAGACTCTTGATAAAAAAAATATACTTAAAGTTTTTAGTTTGCCTAATAATAATACCGATTTCTCTACAGATTTCTTTGGTAATACTTCAATATTGTTATATCCCTAAAAATCGCTACAAATACTCTACCCTTAAGGGTAACCAAAGGGATCCTGTTCCGCCCATTTGTTATTTATGACCGGACTGAAGGCATTTGCCAGCTGACATCCTTGGAAATGGACAACAAATCTGGCGGACAGGCTGACAGAAGCTGGCTGCCGCAGAGATTGAATGGGCAAAAAGTATGGAGAAAAAAAAACAGGAGGAGGGACGTACATAAATTTTTATAATTTCTTCAGCTTTTGTTGTTGTTAATGTTGTTGCTTTTGCATGTCAGCTCAAGAGGAGAGCCCGGCCAAGTCGGGCGTCTTGGGTAGCTTTGGGGGCTCAGACTTTGCCAGCTGTGTCTTCGGTTTCCTTTCTCATCGGCTTGTTGTTCTTTTTTTTTTTTGTCAGCTTTCGCAGCTTCTTCCTGCTCCTATTCTTCCCGCTCTCCTCCATAGCCTTCTCCTGCAGTATTTTTCTTTTATTTTTCAAATTTTTTGACGCCTAAGCCGAGCGAGAGAGACTGGCGCAGGCGACACTTGAGTGACGCCTTGACTGGCGCCATCTAGCGGCGGCTGGCGGCTGCCGGCTGCGCGTGCATAACTTGCGTTTCATTATAATGAGATTATCCCTTTTGCCAGTACAGTGTCGGCTCTACGAACTGCAACAGCTGTTTGTGTTTTCCTATTTAAATTATTTCTTTCCCTTTTGACGGCGGCTCTTCTTGTTATTCGAATTGGTTCCACCTCCTTTGCTCCTTCCATGTCCTTGTCCGCGTCCACGTCCTGTTTTTCATGCTCCTTGGCCACTCCGACTGTCCGGGATTATTTGGATTGGGATTTGGGTCTTATTTAACTTGGGCAAATAGCTTTTCCTGTTGGACAACTAATTGGAAATGGGCGAGATGAAAGGGAAGTGTGAGTCAACATTATCCATTATCCTTCCGAAATGCAGTCGAAATAACACCGCTAAATGGATGGGTTAAAGGTTACAGGTTCTAAATTTAATTAACTTTCTATTTTAGTGATCAGTTGTTCGCCTTGCTAAAGAGATAGCAAATATTTAACTCAAAGATACTACTTCCATTTGTAACATTAAAATCGTAATGAAATAACATCAATCCAAAATATATCATATGTAAGTTATCTGCGAGAGATCTCTAAAAATGTTGAAATATTGAAATGTTTTATTCAATACTATTTCCCTGTCATGTTTAATCGCAAGTTAAGCCTTCTGATTAGCTCTTATTTTGCATCTTTATGGGATTTCCGTGTTTCCCTTTCAGCTTTTCCCCCAAACATCAGCTGTCACAGCTGCCTTTCCCAGCTCTCATGGGTTTTTAATTGTACATATTCCGATTTGGAAGATAACCGAAAATGGGACCACCGTCATAGTAAATATCCAAAAAAGCATTTAACAAACATGTTCGAATTATGCAGAAATGTGTTAGGCACGATGGAAAATACATTGGGCGAGAAAAGCGCTCGTTGTACATACATTCATTTGTCAATTTATTTATGTTTATTCGTTCAATCATTTCGGAATATTTAAATTGATTGGGTCACGCCAAGGCCGGGCACCCAAGCCCCGAAAAGCTGGTTGGAAAACCAATTAGAGCCCAGCGACAAATGTAATGTGGCGGTGGAGACAACAACAATAGCGACAAAAATAACATTCAGACATCGGCTAACAAGATCAAATCGTGTAATGTGACTCATTACAACATCATTTTGTATAAATATTACCCGTTGTGAGTGTGGCCCAAAAAAAGGTGTGAATATTGTGGGCAGACACAGCGGGTTTCGAAAGATGTAATGCGAAAAATTGGTTTATTATAGGCTAATATTTAAATTAGCTTTTCAAAGGGGTTAAATAGTTATAAAATTAACTATACAGGCACTTCAAAACTGATTAAAAACAGATATTATTTATACCTAATTAGATATTTTCTACGAATCTTGATAATCTTCTGGGTTTACAAGCTCTCAAATAAGTTCTCAAATAAATATGAAAACGAAACATATTTTCGTTAACTTAAATCCCAAACAAACTAAAATATTGCTTTATTAATTTGCTAGAAGCATTTTATACACAAACAAGACTCTGTTGCCCGCCTGCTTTAGGGGTCTCAAAACTTTACCCGAGGGCTTAATTTTGGACAACAAATTAATCCAGTTTGGATCAGGACTAAACACTACGGCTTGTCATGAGACTGATGTTGATGGTGCCTTCCTGGCTGGGGATCGTAGTTGAGAACATCGAAGGTTAGGATTTTGTAGAAGGACACTGACCAGCCCACGTCATCCATACCGGGGGCCACACGGCCGCTCAGGAAGCCAGGCTGCATCTTGGCCGAGTCCATGGGATCGAAGGCGGATTTCAGGAAGTTTTCCGCTGGCGACTGAGCACCGGGCAAATTGTGGGGAATATTTTGGGCCTGGGCCTGGGCGTGCGCTTTGTTCGCCAAAATCTCCCTTCGCGCCTCCGCCGTGTAGTCGCGCCGGAAGCGGATAAAGATCTCGGCAAAGACAATGCGATGCGGCACGGCCACCACATGCGACGGAGTCCTAAGTTCGTTGTCCATCCGGCGGATAATGTCGTTAACCTCCACCACCTCGGTGGCCGTGTCGAAATCCTTGGTGTTCCGCAGGCCCACGAACAGCATGTCGATGAAGGCATACTTCCGGCCAAAATTCTGTCGCGTTGCCACCTTCATGGGAATGGCACGACGCAGGTGCTCCCTCTGGAACCGTACCAACTGGAGACGCGTGTCGTTGCGGGACAGGAGCATGTCCCGGGTGATCTGCTGGAAGCCCACTGGAGTCGTAAAATCACTGATCCGATCCGCCTGCTGCAGCCGAATGATATCCGTGAGGACCACAGCCGCCTGCTTGGCACCATCCACGAACTCCGATTCCCGGAATTCACGGTCCCACAACCACTTGAGCTTCCACAGATTCAGCTTGGTCACCAAATACTTCCACGGATTGTGCAGATACACTAGCTTCGGGATCGTCTTCCTGCGCTCCTCATGCGCCGAACTCTGACGATCCCAATCGTGCAGCTTCCGGTGGAAATCTCCGCCACCACGATGGGCACATTCCCAGCCCAGTTTTCGCTGGAAACTCGAGTACCTCTGGACTTTGAGTGGCTGCAGCAAATGGGGCTGACAGTGCGGTTCATAATGATAATGCAATAGGGTCGATGGTTGGCAGTGACGACTATGGTTGCTGGCCAGATGGTTCAGTGTGCAATATTTACGTAGAATTTTTGATAGCATCGCGACTCCTAGTGGGGGGCACTTTGCATTTTTGTCTCCAAAATTTTGTACGTCGTCTGTGCCCCGGGGGAGAGAAACACTAGGTTATTCTCTGGCGTGCCTCCCGAGTTTAAGCAATTGAATTGTCGGAATTTTGACAGGCACAAAACAAAAAACACAAGCAACACGACGGATAGATTATGAAAATTAAGTTGAAATTATTTCAAATTATTTGCCATATACCTGGGAATAAACTTGATCGAATCTCTAACTCTGAAGTGCAGTTAAAAATCGCAAGAAACCTATTCCAAAACATTAAATAAAATTTATTTTTATTTTTACATTTAACACAAAACATATTTCGATGCACTTGAGCTAAAAAAAAGAGTTTCTTAACGAAACCAAATCATCCCACACTCAATTTTTGGATGCCAGGTAGCGCCTCAAAGCCAAATGACTTGCCACGATCGTAAAGCATTATTCCGGCCGATACATAAATTATATTCCGACGTGCGTGAGTGTGTGAGGGCCATGTGGGCATTTCTTCTTCACTTTTTCGTTTCGACAAGTGGCCCTTGGTCAGCCGAGGGGGCTTTATGGGGTTAAGGTGGGGACGGTCTCACGCAAACGACATAAAAATTAACAATGAAAATGGGGGAAAAGAAATGAAAAGCTCTTTCAATGCAATTGTTGCGCTCGGCTGGAAGATGTGTATTTAAATGGCGCGGCGAATTTAATTATGTGTAAACTTATTTAATGGAAAATTAAACAGAAGTTAAATCACATGAGAAGGAGCAGCAGTAGGTCAAAGCAAAAAAAAAAAAAAAATGTTGGTAATAAAAAAAGAAGAGAATACTGTGTGGGAAAAAAGAGAGGTTGGATTTAAAATTTGAAAAAGTTTATATATGAAGAAATAAGTTAAATTAGGTAAGTTAGTTGTTATATATTCAAAATAAGAACAAGAAAGGAAATTTACTTTGAGATGCCAAAGTTTATATACTTTTGCCATTGAATTTTGGGATCGAATCTGAAATCGTTTATAACTAAGCTTAAAATATTTGAATTTTTTAAATCGATATTTTTATATGACAATTTATTTGACAAATCACAGATTAAAAAAGTCATAACTAAGCTAAAAAAGCATAAATTTAAGTTCGGAACACTGTCCTATGTTAGTTATTATTAGCTTTATTAATCTACATACTTAATTTAATATTTAAAGAAAGAATATTAAAAAATAATGTTTTTTTTCAAATTTTAATGATTTAACACCTTATAATGCTTATGATGCTGATCAATAATATATATGATTTATAGGGTCCAAAATGACTTCTTCATAGCTTTACACTCTTCTGACTATAAAAAAAAGATATAAATATTTTATTTTAAATAAGTTTATTTATTTTCTTCAAATCACTAACTTAAACTAACATTTTTTCGCTAATGGCTTACGCATAGAAAAGCTTGTCCGGGGCAAGACTTCAATGCATACAATGCATACAATATATAAGTCAAGCTCCCAAACTACTTGAACTACTGCTACTTTCTTGCCCCGAAAACCACTCCTGATATTCCCAACAAACTATCTCAACGTTTTCAGTTTATCAATTCGATATCCCCAAAGAGTGAGTGAGGGGGGAAAAGATACACTCCTCCTAAGTTGACACAAAATGCGTGGTCGTCATGACGTCGCAGGAAAAATTCAGTTACAGAAAGAAAAAAAAAACTAAAAAGAAAATGTTCCCAGTGAGTGGATGGAGATAAGCATCTTTTATGGACCGCCAAAGATAGTGGGATTCGGAAACTCTGAAATTCAAAAATTCAAATGAAAATAAGTAATTCATTTCGCTGCAGTTTTCCCGGAGCATCGTTTATCTTGCGGCTCATTAAATCATTCAGCTGTCAATCAATTTCGTTGCGCTTGTCTGGGATTCCTGCCTTTGTTTTCTTTCCTCAGATGCATTTCTGATGCACTTCTGACCACCGACACAGTCTTGGGCATAATTATATTGCCATCATCGTCTCGGTAATGAGTTGAAACGGTAAATTCTATTAGAAGCTGGACAGACAATTCAATCCATGATTGATAGATTGCTCAATGTGGCAGAACCGAGCTCCCGGACTAGGCTGAGTTACATTCCGCATAACTCGTTCGTTTTAAATTTCGCTTGCTTAGAGCTCAGAAATAAACATACAAAGACAGAGAGACCCCCATATATCGTTAGCATAAGCGCAAGTATCTTATGGATTTCCATATCTTTCGGCTCAGTTCAGTTCGCTTGTCGTCGGTCGGTCGTACCTGTCAGTCGATTCAGGTTAAATCAATCATACCACAAAGACTTCAGAGCGGAGACCTGTCAACACGGTTCATTGTTTGTTCAGAGCGGCATTTAAAAAGACCCAACTCGAACTGGAACTCGAATCCGAGTTCCAGCCCCCCTTTTGCCATCCCGCATTTATAGCACGATATGTGCTATCCTATATCGTATCCATATCGAAACCATAGTTTGTAAATTTATGCGCGTATCTCACAGATACTTCGTGCAGTTATTTGCATTTTACCAATGCAGCTCCTCTAACTATTGTCTCTGTGGCATAGTGTGCTATGTTTCATGGCATATTCCATACATACGGGTGGTCATTTAGCATATTTTGATATTGAGATTTATTGACGCGATTGCTGGAACGTGGCAGGCAGCCGGCTGTGTGTGTAGCTTTTGTCGGCAACAAAGCGGAAATGTTTCCGCCCCCGACACTCGCTCAATTATGTCAAAATGCGATCCGGTTCCTGGTCCCCTGTCCGCTGTCCGCTGTCCCTACTCTAAATTAATTGAGTTTGTACCCCGAAAATCGTATCCAATTTCACACTGGGCGCCCCGTTTAGGCAACTTGACCACACAGAAATAAAGCATTGGACGAGCATGAAAAAATAAAAAAGACAAGAAATGAGCAGAAATCAAAGCTGAGAGAGCGTGCCACTGGAACAATGCCAAGTGCAGATGGATTGGATTTTAGTAGAGAACTGAGTGAACTGCACTGCAAGAAAATAGAGCAGAAATTTGGATTTAAAATAAGGGAAAAATGAAGGTATAATTGCTTATAATACAAAGCATTAGTTGGTTAATTAAAATTATTTAAAATAAAATATGTAATGAGTCAATTAATAAAGTCAAGAACTGGATGAACAGGAGAACAGCAGAATAAACAGGAAAATAACTAAAGGAACTAATGAAGTCATTGCTAATAATCTATGATAAACCGGAATGTACAAAATTCAAGATGTAAAACTCGGAAAATATATTCCTGCAGTTTACAATTAAATTATAGGATCGGAAATCGATCATACCTAAGCTTAAAATGTTCGCATTCTTTGAATCTACATATATTTATTGATATTTTTATATGAAAATGTTTTCTAAAAATCAAAGTTTCAAAAATGTTAGTTTTTATTAGTTTTATAAATCTACATACTCCATTAAAAATTTAAAAAATTAAAATTTTTATCAATTTTTTTTTGCTAATTTTAACCTCATAAAATTTAGAAAAATTTCGAAAAAAATTAGTTTCCTCCAGTCATGTCTAGATAGATTCGGGTGTTGATGCTGATCAAGAATATATATGATTTATAGGGTCGGAAATGATTCCTTCAAAAGTTACAAGCTTCTAACTGAAATTATAATACCCTGCAAGGGTATTTTTTCCACCTCAATTTTTGTGACTACATATTTATTCTCTCTGTACGAATAGAAAAGCTATATGCTTTTACGAAACCTTGCAAAGTGCGCGGAATGTGGTCGCGCCATTGAAATTCGATACAAGACCTCCAACTCAAGAGATCGTGAGGAATTGGCCATGATTTCCATGTACACTTCTAGGGTTTCCAATGCATTCGCTGGCTGTCTGTCACTCTGCGGTGGGTTCATCTCTGTTAAAATTGCACACATTTTCAGGTAGTTTTGTGGGCAATTTGTCTGGCAAATCGATCGTCACTACACAACCGCGACTTTGCGGAAACAAACCAGCGAATTCAATCCGAATCAGCCTGTCGATCAGGTTGAGGTCGGGTCAGGTCTTTTCCTTTTCCTTTTCCTTTGCGATCGCCAAGTAATCGAATACCCTCACGTACATCCGAGATCCTTGTGCAGTGAGTCATTTAAAATTCCTGAGACTCTTCTAATTTGTCAGGGGATCGATCGAGCGCCCAACACCTAGCGACCATTCACGTGATCTGCCTGCTTTATGGCCACTTAGAGTCGAGTTTCTGGCGGGGATTTCTGGTGGGGGAGACCGAAACCCACCACCTGTCACTGGCTGACACTTCACTTGTCGCCTGGCCTGATATGTGGGTCCGTTGTGATGGAACTGTCGCCCGGCTTCCAAGAACTGTCTGCGGACTTTGCACGGACTCAACACCTTCAACACGAATCCCCGCCCATTTAACTAACTATCTGTCCTCTAGGCGATCCGCTCCAAAACTGGACGCTATTTGACTTATTTATGGCCCTAGATACGTTTTTCTGGCTTTTCCGATTCAGTTTGCGTGCCAGTCATAGAGTGCCACCCAAAAAGAAATGTGGGGAAACACCGAGGTTATATTAAAAATAACGAAATTAATATGCTCTTTTTAAAGAGGTTCGGAAAAAAAGGTTTTGTATAATCAAAAACTATAAAAGCTTTCTGAATTACTCATTGATCGGTGTTAAAACTAAGCTGTTTTTATATAAATTATTATAATTAATAATATAATCGAACATTGATAGAAATATACTCCTTCTTATAGAGTATTTGTAAACCAAGACGAGTCTATAATGCCAATGAGATCGATTTGTGTCTACTGGACTCCTCCTTTTATTTTTCTCTCTCTGTCTGTTTCTGTGTGAGTCTCCCACATCATTAGATATATCTTTGGGGGGTCATAATTCACCTCGACGAAACAAATTCCAACTGCATTACCCACTAACCCCGAAACCCAGAGAAATTCTAGAGACATCAAAGCAAAGTTCAGGCAACACAAGAGGGATTTAAGGTTGCTGCCAGAAAGTAAGTCGTACAATCATCATCCATATATATATATATAGTATATATATATACGCTAATATATATATCAGCTCAAAGGGCACAGAGACCACGAGAGGATGTAAACAAAGCCCAGAAATGCCAGAAAGCGCTGCTGACAGTAG